AAAATGATGTGATTAGGACACTCATTTATAGGTCATGAATTCAAAGGAGTTATAATAATTAGAATATTTCATAAGTAATTTGTGTGTCATTGCTGGGTAACATCCTATAGCTGACTGAAGCAGAAATACAGACATTCCTCATTTAATGACTTAACTGTTTGGACTTACTGCCTGCGTTCAAACTATAATGCAGGAATGTGAGCAGTAGTGTAGCTTTCCAGTGGCTTCTTCTACAGTACAGTTCTGTAATTTTTGCTAATTGTACTGTGTGCCACAGTGATGTAGTTTTCTGTTCTGTTATGTATTATATAAGGGCATGTATAGTTACGCAAATAAAAGCAGTCATCAAGTTGAAGTTCTCTTTGACCATTTCTTTGTTCTGAATATGATATTGTACATGCTATATACAGTTCCCACTTAGTGACCAATTAATTTAACGACCTAGAAGCAGGAATGGTGAACAGTGGTTAAATGACAAGTGTCCATATAAAGAGTAGTATATATGCTGTGGCCTTCTTGCCAAGGCAGTGTTACTGTTTTAAACAATTGTTCTATCTCTATAGTAAGTTAGATCACTTGATATATGACAAGCACAATTATGAGGAGAAACCGAGATGTAAATTTAATTTGATGAGTTTGGATTCACTGTCCCATGGAAGCCAGATGATCAAACCCACATGGCTTTGTCTCACAGGTCCCCAAGATGGTCAGAGGAAGACAGGAAGACAGAGAAGAGAGATGGCTGACAGGTTAGGGTGAGGAAGAAGGAGCTAGCCAGAAACACCACCTGCAACAGAAACAGTGATGGAAAGGGAGAGAGAGAGAGAGAGAGAAAGAGAGAGAGAGAGAGAGAGAGAGAGAGAGAGAGAGAGAGAGAGAGAGAGAGGCTTAGGTCTCTACCACAAAAGAGGGAGAAAGGAGAAAAGACAGAAAATGAAAAGACAGAGGGGAAGTAGCCAAGAGATGGGTGGAAAGATGGAAATATACAGGGAAGGAAGATTCATACAGAAAACGGAAGAGAGGAGCGAACGTGACACACAGGTAGGGAGGGGCTGGGAGGAAGACAGGTAAGGAAAGACTCAGAAGGAAGAGCTTTGGCATGAGAGGAAGAGAGAAGGAGAGCAAAGATAAAGATTCCATCAGGCAGACACAGATACACAGAAGTCTCAGGTAGATAATGAGACAGAAACTACACATAAGGGAAAAAATAAAGTTAGAGATACATACACATTTATATGCATGTACACCTTAACTTACAACCATGTACATTGTTAAAACCACTATAAATTGAAAAATTTCTGACTTAACCTATATCATAGCTTAGCAGAACAGCACACTGTGGAGCAGGAGTCCCTAAGCCCTGCCCCATGGGCCGGTTCCAGTCTGTGGCCTGTTAGGACCCACTGACCCGGCAAGAGCTGAGCATTCGATTCAGAAGTGGCATTAAATTTTCATAGGGAAAGAACCTCATCGTGATTCGCACATGGGAGGGACTTAGGTTGTGAACTCCTTTGAATCACCCTGCTCCCCAACTAAGTCCATGGAAACACTGTCTTCCATAAGACCAGCCTCTGGTGCCAAAAAGTTTGGGCTAGAGCATTGGGTGTTTCTCCATGAGCTCATGGCTGGAAGTCATGTCCACTGCCTGCCTTGCACGTCAGCAGGAAGCCACACCACAGGCTGCTAGCCTGGGGAAAACAGTCATAATTGAAAGTTCAAGATGTAGGTTAGTGATACAGTGCATGCTTGGCAGCTGTGATGCTTTGGATTCAATCCCCAGCACCAATAAACGCACAAATAAATATGATTCAAAGCACTGTTTCTACTGAACATGCATTGCTTTCACACCATCGTTAAGTTGAAGCATCATAAATTGGGGACTAACTGTGTATGCTGCTACAAATCATATACCCATTTGCATACATTATATGTATATATTATATCTGATAAAAATATGCTATGAATTTCTAGCTTTCCTTAGCTCTTCATGCAGATTCTGCATAGTCATGTATCTATGAATCTGTTTCTCATTTCTCTCTCCCATTGCCACAATAATACAACAATAACAATAATGCCCCAACATAGTTCCTTAAAGTATCCTTTATATACTAGTTGTCAGGTCTATGGGGTTCCTAGGCTGTCCAAATGATCTGGGCTGCAGGATCAGCTGACCTTGATTGGAGAGAGGAGATCGCTGGCCAAGGTGACATGGGCTGGAATGAATCAGGGGCGCTACTCCTGTGGCTTCATGTGCAGTAGGTTGGCTAGACTTGCTGTCATGGCAACGATGCGAATGCGGCAGTCAGAAAAAGCACATTAGGCTCTTGGGGTCCTAAATCCGGAACTGGAACCCCTGGCTTCCACACAGAGTTTCCTGCCTGCAGAGCCCTCCCTGAAATAATTTTTACTGCACATTGCCTTTCCCACAGTGGTGGGAGCCAAAAGGTAAGAAGATGAAGAGAAAGAAAGCCATCTGTCTTTCAGAACCACAGTTCTCCTTCAGAGTGGGGCTGCATTCAGGCCACCACCGCCACCTCTGCCCTGGGATGACCCAAGGTCTCGGAGGACACAGAGAAAGCCAAAGTAGCTGAAACCTGTGCTGAACGAGCTACACCGGTAACAGAGGCTGACACACTTGCCTCTTTGTCAAAATTTATTAAAATTCAATAAATTCAAAAGCTCCTTCAGTTTCACGGGCTTTTCCTCCCCAAACTACTCTGGATTTTATTGGAGTCATGATGGTTGGAAAAACCCCCTGCAATTCCTTGTTCTGTTCCAACCTTAGTCGCTAACATAACACTCACCTATCTCATCACTTAAATTATACGTCACACTGCAACTCACAATGTTTAAGTTACAGAAAAAGAAGGGTAAAGAAGCTATAGATTTTTAAAAAGCAATGCAAAGGACAAAGTGAAAGGGTGCAGGCCCAGGTGCAGGAGTGGCCACGTGGGGGCGCCCGCAGAGCACAGATCTGAACAGGAGGCGCTGGGAAGGCTCAGCAAAGGAACCGAGTTGCCCACCAGAGGACGATGGGACTTCCAGCCCTTCCGGGGACAGTACCCTGCTGACAAAAATACGCAGCGTTCTGCACATCATTCAACATGTGCCTACAAAGAGTTTTCATAATGTGCAGGAGGCGATCCAGAGTCACTCAGGGCATGGAGAACTGGGAAACTGTCTGCCTCTCACAAAAGGCAAGGAGACACAGAGATGCCCCTACCGAGAGGACACGACTGAGTGAATAACCAAGGTGAAGCAGGGCATCAGACAATAAAAAACAAGGAGAGAATATTTTGCAAAAGGAAGGGGATCTAGAAATGGAGTGCAGGGGGGAAGGAAGAGAAACAAAAAAGAATTAAGATGTGTTAAGCACGTGCGCCTGCCCCCTAGGACGAGTGTGAACATTCTGTACTGCAGACATGTACCAATAAAAATAAACAAACATAAAAAGGACAAAGAAGCCATTATGACCCATGACCAAGAAAAGAGAGGAAATTTGATCACGTACATTTTCATAAACCAATTCAAATGAATCACAGATGCCAAGTACATTTTCTGGGGCTGGGCTGCCAGATAAGATGATACATGTCCAAGTAAATATGAATTGCAGACCAAGAGCTAAGGATATTTTTAGTTCAAAGTTGTGCAAAAAAATACATGGAATAGAACATTTGTCTGTTTGTTTATTTATTTATTGAGACACGGCCTCACTGTATAGTCTAGGTTGACTTTAAATTTACTGTGGTGCCCAGGCTGGCCTTGAACTCACAATGATCCTCCTGCCTCAGCCTCCTGAATGCTAGGATTGCAGGAATGTGCCACCATGCCCGGCAATTTAGTTAAACCCTTTATCAGATACAAAGGAGCCTTTCTGAACACTGCTTCACTGTTGGTGGGAGTGTAGACTGGTGCAGCCACTACGGAAATTAGTATGAAGATTTCTCAGAAGACTAGGATTGGAAGTTCCATTCAATCCAGCTATTCCCCTCCTGGATATTTTCCCAAAAAAACGGAAAAGGTCATGTCACAGCAATATATGTGCACCCATGTTCATAGCAGCAGAATTTGTAATAGCTAAATCTTGGAAACAACCAAAATGCCCATCAACTGCAGAGTGGATGAAAAAGAAGTGGTATTTTTACACAATGTAATATTATTCAGCTATAAAAAGGATGATCTTGAGACCTTCATAGATAAATGGAGGCAACCCTCGTAAGTGAAATAAATAAGAATTGTATTTATAAATATCACATTGTGTCTCTAATGTAAAAAGTAATAAGAACTGTAGGAGTAATAAAACCTAAAATGTGTAATTTCTATTGTAAAAAGAAAGGAAAAGAAAGTGCTTTAAAGGATATAACTGCATATAAGTTTAAGTATGTAAGATAGATGACCATACTACTAAGTTTTTGTTGGATCGCTGAGCAGAACTGTTTGCAATCTCACTGTTTGAATGTTCACTCTTTATGCTTTAATGTTGTAACTCTAACAACTATTTCTAAGAGGACAACATATAATTTATCAACTAGTGATTTCTGTTTAATTTTTTAATTCTGTATTATTTCTACCCTTTTTTCTGTTTTGCTTTTTTCTTTTTAATTTTTTTAAAAAAGGAGCTTTTTGCACTGCTGTAGAATAAATATATTTTAATAAATTGATTTGTGCATATACAACATACATACACATACACACATGCATATACACACTCCCATTTATCTTTGACGAGTGTCAAATGTAGTCCACATCGGGGTTCTAGTTTTTCTATATTTTGTTTTTGTCTTTTAGCAATCTGGGTTTAGAGATTATCATATTTGCAGTTGCTGTCTGCCCCAGACTACTCACAGATGTATGTGACAGTGATTCAGGACAATGATAAACTTTCATCTCGGCACAAGTACACGGCGGCAGCATTACCCATGAGGAACTCTCCACTCCAGAGAAGTCGCCGTTTCCACAATGAACAGGCCAGGGCCATCTGAGATCAGCCATCATGTGAACCCATCATGTTCACACCCAGCCAGCCTCAGTCCTGAGCTCTCAGTTGTCCGGATTTATCCTTCTCCGATGAGAACTTGCTTCTGGAGGCCACACGGGGGCGCTGCAGGAGAGCACAGAGGCAGAGAGGCAGGGGTTCCTCCCACGCACTGCCCCCTGGTCAGCAACTGGGCTGTCTTCTCAGATAGAGCCTCTCAGCTACTGCTCCTCTCTGTCACTCAGTCAGCAAGGCCAGTGCCAACTCACTGTACTAGGGACTCCTTTAGTTGAATAGGTGCTGAGTTTGGAGAGAGCCCCTCTTGTCATCTGGTCCCTCTGCTTCCAGGACCCAGGAGAAGCAGCCGTGCTGTGGGCTGTGGCCCTGCTGCTTCGAACTTTCCTGCCAGCTGGTAAGTGTGTGGCCTAGGTGCTCATGGACTTCTCCTACAATGGAAGGCCATACTTTCTTATCATTGTTTTGTTTCTGTTTCCTCTGTAGGCGGTCAAACATCTTCTGGTTTGGAAGGAGGAATGAAGTCAGTCATCAGGAAGCCTGGGTCATATGCAGTCATCGGTTGGGTTGTGATGTTCATGAAGAGAACTACATCCACTGGTACCTATTCAAGGAGGGGCAGGTGTCTCTATCCCATTGACACAATTATATCACAATAACACTGTCTCCTCTACTGTAACTTCCTCACCTCCAAGGCAGAGGTGACTTTTGGATTCAAACAAGGGAAATACCATGCTTACGAAGGCACAGGAAGGAGTTATGATTTTGTACTGTGAAATGTGGAAGAAAGCTATTCTGGCGTGTACTATTGTGTAGTCTGGGCAGGTACAGAGCTTTGCACCTGTCTATATCTACACACATAGGATGCCCTGTGCCCTCATGTCCTGACTCAGAACTCACTGTACCCTGAGCCCACCTCCCAACTCCGCCTTTACATCCATGTCCCACCACTCACAACAGCTGTACCCTGACTCTACCCCCATCCCCAGGATTTCCCTAAAGGCCACACTACCATCTCCAGGACTTGTCCAACCCATCTCGCTGACAGCAGGGGTAGAAGCGCACTCCAGCTTCTGTTTAGGACAGAGACGGTCACCTAGGGCTGGTTGGCTAGAGGTAACATTTAGAGAACATATGGGAAGGTGAGTTGTATTGAATCATTTATCCAGTCATCACCCAGAGATAATGGCAGGAGATGATGCTCGTCTATCACTTGGGATTCTGAGGAATGATGGAACAAACCTTTGTGCTTCATGAAGACCTGTACTGGCAGTCATATTTATTATCTTTTGAGCATCATGATATTTACCTCACCATAAACACTCATGATATTGTTTGCATGAATGAGAATGCAGGAAAAGGAGGTTTGTTGTACCTTTACTGATTGTTAGAACAAATTGAATTTCTCAGTTCTAACTGGCACATTACTGATTCATGGTCTACAAAACAGACAGAATTGCTGGATAGGACAGAATTGTTCATGTGTGTATGGCACCCTCTGTGCAAATGAGAGTGGCACAGAGCAGATTGGTGACAGCAGGCTACTTTCTGTGTAAAGACTGAAATACAGGGATGTTCTCATCGAGCTCACTCAGGTGGACTGGACCCGTGGCAACCAGGGGATGTCAGTGTCATTTTACCTTGTTTTTCTTCAAAGTGGACTTGTTAACCTCCCTTTAATTTTACTGAACACACCTATCAAAATTGACCTCCTAGTTTAAGCAAATAAATTTAAAGTTCTATCTAACCCTCCCCCCACTCTTAGAAACTGACACCAGAGTGTCTGTCAGATTATTTCTATTTCTCAATTATTAAAACTAAAGAATGATTTGCACAAACAATCTTCCAATGAATGGCTTATATTTGAATTGAAAAGTCATGCAGCAAAAGCACAGTCACTGGCATATCAAGTTATGTTTAAGGATGTAAAATAATTAGTCCAGTGAAGAGAAAGACAAACAGGGAGTTATTAAGTTGCTTGGGGGCTTGGCCATAATTAGCAAGAGAAGTAGGTTTGCAGATATTGTATATTTCATGTTCTAAAGTTTCATCTGTTAATGAGCAGAGACCTGTGACTGATTCTGTGAGGTATATGTTGTATCCAGCACTCTCATCCAGTTCTCTCATTGATTCTACTTTTATTTATTGATTCTTAAATTTTCTTTGTATAATTTTATACCATCTGCTAATGCAGGCAGTTTCTCTTCTTTGCTTACAGTCCCTCTAACTTTTATTCATTTTGCATCCTTAGTGCCCTGGTTAAGATTTCTGATACAATATTCACAAAAGTGAAGTTGACTGGATTCCTTGTAGTAGTATAGATCTAAATAGGACCACCAAGCATGACTTGTAAGAGCATCAACTTGGGGAATCCTTCTTTCATGTGTACTTGACCTTTGTTATATATTCAGACTTTAGTTTATGATTCTTTAGAGAATGATTTGCATCTGGATATTCCCCCAAAGCCTCATATGGTCATGGAAAGTGAACTTTCGGTGGTAGCTAAATCTAGATTTTGTGATTGTGGAGAAAGCTTGGATAGCTTTCCTTGAATGCAGAACAATTGCTTCAGTATTAGTTAGACCAAGCCCTATCTCCATGTACTAATATGTACAGAGCTAGCTAAGCTATTTCTTTCTCCCTTCAATTTGCTCTAAGCAATGTAAATAGGGCTAGCTGAGATATTAATATGTAATCTTTGAAAGCAACGGACACTTTTCTGTTTCTTCACATTGTGTCTCCCTATAAATTGTTGAGCACTGTGGGATGGCAGAGTTATATAGCTTCAGGAAGGTCAATGGGTTCAAGCTTCAAAATGAAAGGCTATGACTTCCCAAAGCACAAAAGTTTACATAACAACCTTCTGAACATTTAAATGCTACTCCAATTAAGTTATGCAGATTGGCATTTCTGCATTCCTTTCTCTCTGCATATTGCATAGGTGCTTTCTGGTATCCTATCTAAGCCTACCTATAGTCTCATATAATTCTCACCATTTTCACTGTCACTCATCCTCAATTCACATCTTTCCTCATGTGCTAATAAATTCTGGTTGAAACTCTAGACAAAGACCTTTTGTTCCATGAATCCTTACCTGGATCAGACATAAGACCCCTCGACTGCCCATAAGTATAGTGTCTTTATTCTTGCCATGGGTTGTACTGGAGGTGGTGGATTGGAATTAACTCATCCAGATTCCAATAACATTTTAATGTGATTAGAAATATAATCTTCCTGGACTGTAAGAAGGATGGGAGGAAAGGAGATTACAATATTTGGATTCTAATATGATTGCTTCATTGTCTAGTGCTGGGATTGGGAGTATCAGTGCTACATCCACCCTAGGGAGAGTAGCCTGCATACAATGTAAGGGAAGAAAAGAAGCTTGCTCCTCCCATTTTGCTCATGTTACTTTTGTTGTCTTCTGCCAAACATGAACTGTTGCCCCTATCCCATGCCACCCTGCCTTGGAGCCAGCTAAAAGCTCTACAAACTGTGAGATAAATAAATCTTTCCTCCTTAATTTCATGTTTCAGATATTTGTCTCAGCAATAAAAGACAAGTAACTAAAACACAATTTGGTACCAGGAGTGGGGTTGTTCCTGTGACTTATACTTGACCATGTGGTTCAAGAGCCTTTGGGTGTGGCTTGTGGAAAAAGATTGGAAAACTTCCAAGATGTATTCTGAAAAAGCAGAGTTGGAATGCTTAAAGCTGTTATGTATAGGAGATTCTAGTCAGAGCTCAGAAGACAAGAAGGTTGATAGAAGTTCTGCCAGTAAAAGACTATGTTCTGGTAGTTTCTGCTGGCAAGAAGGATTGCATTGGCTGTTGGAGCCCACATAAGTGTGTATTATGCCTTGGCAGAAAATTTATTTACATTTTACTTGGGTCCACATATTTTGCCTGAGACTAAGAATAAGGGCAGCAGACTAATTAATATGGCAAAAGAAATTTCAAGACAGTTGAATGTTGAGGTAGTGGTGTAGTTATGTTGTGGGCTTTTGCCAGATGTATGTGGAAAATCAAGAGAAAAGAGAGTAGTAGAATGATTTAAAATATTATGAGTTTGATCAGAAAAGAAGCTCCAATAAAGCTGTGAACTTCAAACGTAGTGCAGAGAAAATCTTGATTGCTGAGAAGAAACAGGACAATAGAAGGATGGCCTATAGGCATCAGAAGAAGCAGCAATTCTCCACCTCTGCATCCTCCAAACTGCAAAAGTTAAAGACTCTTTGAGAAGAAAGTCATAGAGCACTGTTTTCTAGAAAGCAGCACCCACAGCATGTTCCAGAATGGTATCAGTGGAGAAAATTTGTTTCTCAGAAGTAGATTCAGAGTGCCCAGCAATCCAGACACTTGACCCCATGACCAAGACAGAGAGAGACAGAGACAGAGAGAAGCTTGGCTACTGCTCTAGCTGGCAGCAACCTTAGCATAATCTTCTTGGTAGATGTGAAAGATTACTATTTATTTTAGGACAGAAATAAGAAGAAAAAGGAGAAGAAGCACAAAAAAAGTACTCAAGGAGAAAAGTATTTTGAAGAAGAGAGATAACATTTCCTACAAGCAAAATGGATCACTGAAAGAAGAAGAAGAACGCAACTTTCAACTGTTTTGTTAGCTGGTTTAGGTGGTCCCCACTTGATCTTGTTCTAGAAGATTGCTCTTGGGTGCTTTATTTGGTGTATTCTTGTATCAAGATATTGACGCCAGGTACAGAGTTCAGCTTGATCCCTTGTCCACCAACAATTCTGACAAAATTATTCAGCAGGACGAATTAAAACCTGGAAAACATTGCTGGTCCCTAGTGCATTCAATTAAAGAACCGAATATGGTAGGGACTAGAGTTGACTAAAAAGGAAGATGGCAGTGAGGGCCAAGAAAAGGAAGATAAAAAAAAATGGGAGGAGGAAACATTATAAATACAAAATTGATATCTGCATTGTCCATGAACAAAACTGTGTGTGTGTTTGTATGTGCGTGCTCACACCTCTTTGTAAATAATCAGTTCATTTTTGGTTATGTCTGTATAGATCTTATATACTTTCAGATTAGTTCTTTTAAAAAATATTTATTTATTTATTTTAAAGAAAAAAATTCAATAAAAACAATGGTACAAAGTTTCAAAACAAGATTGTAGGAGAGCAACAATGGTCAGTACAGTGTGTATTGTTATCTTCAAAGTAGTTGCTCATATTACAAGACATAAGCATGAAAAATTGACTCAACTTGCAAACTTTTCAACGAACTAATGGCAATTAGTAGTATAACTATCTTAACTATTTTGTGTATTTATTTATTAATTTATTTTCCTTTTCTTCTTTCTTCCATTCTAGTTTATTTCCTCCATTGTAGTTTACTTTTCACAAGTTTCTTCCCATTTCACAATATTAGATTATTTCTTTTTTTATTGTCTTTTTTGTGGTGAATAGAGTATTTGTCCTTTGCAGTTTTAGATGTCTATATTTGATATATGAGACACTAGTCTAGTAGTTATGTAAATCAAGAACTATTTTTATTTCATTTACATCATACTTATTTGTAATATTTTTAATAGAGTGTCAAATTTTTAATCATCATTTTATAATGAAAAGACATGTTTTCCTTCTTCTGAGTGTCTATATCTATTATAGTTTCTTCTCCAGTTTGTATTGCTACATTCAAACACTTAAGAAGTTCATGGGAGGTTGGGCATGTTGGCATATGCTTGCAATCTCAGCACTCAGGAGGCCAGAGTAGGAGGATTGCTGTGAGTTTGAGGCCATCCTGGGCTACAGTGTGAGTTCAAGGTCAACCTTTGTAATTATAACTACATCCTTAATGTGATGACATTTGACACCCAACTTATATGTTTCATATATGATTTATATTGTATAATATAAAATATTAAACCAATGTTATGAATTTCCCTGTATAAATATTTCCCAATAGTTTCATAAAAAGTAAGTATTGTCTGAAACAAGCATCCATGAGCCTCTTGAAAACCACTAATATATGTGGAGGAGAGGAGAATTTTTAGAAAGATTATGCTCCATGCAGCAGTCTAGATCACAAAGAGTTACTCAAGAAGAGAAACATAATCTTTCTAGGAACAAAGTGGGAAGAAGTGAAGCAGAGTGGGCCAGAGGCTTTCTGGTCTTCCTTTAGGGCTACAGCTTGGGGGAAGCCTAATTAGAAACATCTAGACAGCTACAGAGTCAATGAGAGAGACTCAGGATTCACTCCATGAGAAATCTTACAATGGGTTTGTAAGGACTGAGAAGAGTTTCACACCCTGACTCTTCTAGGACAAAAGGTAGAGACCAGTGAGATTCTAGAAAGCACTATTTAGGTATTGTAGCAGAAAATGCTCCACCCCAGAGCCAGTACACTTCAGTTTCTGTTAGTTGCTCAGGTAACCTCAAGTTTACTTCAGTTCCTGTTACAGTTCCTGTTACTTCTGATTCCCCCACAAATTGTGATGTATTGCTGGCCACTATGATGCACACTGGAAGAACCAATCAATAACTGCCAAATACTCTGCTTCTGTCTTACAAACACCATAAAAAGCTCCCTCCCTGAGCCTTCTTGAGGTCACTGCCCATCAATGTTAAAAAAAAATTGCCTTCAAGTCATGGATGATGTTAGTGTTATGTTGGAGAGAGCAAGAGTAAAATCAGAAATTGGAAAGACTAAGAATTTTGCTGGAAGTAAATAGTATTTACCCTGAGGATGTGTTTAAATTCTTCCATTAGTTTAACCATCCTAGACTCACCTATGGTCTCCTCTCTTGTCCATATCTTTTCATGAAAAATTACTTCCTTTCCTTTCTGGCCACAAAAATTTCCTGACCATACCCGCCAATTCCTCTCCTGAGCCACTTTACCCTGCTGTGGGAATTCCTGTTTCCAGAGGAGTCTGAAAGTGCTAGTGGGGTCTGTGGGGAGGACACCAGGCTTTGGGGTCATTTAGTGGCCTTTCTCTGTAACTGGTGCTCCATTTCTCAGGCTGGAGCAGCTGCCCAGGTCCTTGGATACACAGGAAGTTTGCTCAGAGTGTTAACTGATGGTGAGTACAGAGGAATTTTTCTCATTTTCTTTGTGTTGTGACCAAATGGACAGACACACAGAAAAATTAGTGAAGTTGTGCACTTATTGAAGGTGGTAAAGAGGTTCGCTCTGCAGAGTGAGAGTAGCTGCTGAACAGATCCACGGTGATCATAATAAGGAAAGTTGTCTCTTGTACCTGAAATTCCTGGATTGTCTTCTTCCTCATGCAAATAAAGTATTGGGATGATTGGGTTGTCCTATCAAAAATTCACTTGGCCTGGTGCCAGATTTAAACTGGCCTATTGAACACTCACTTGGCCTCATACCAGATCTAAATGAAGAATTAAAAATAGCACTTGTCTGATTGGTTCTGCATACAGTACTCAGAAGGTGCAGAGTCATCCTAGAGCCTGGGTTTGTGCATGTGCCTTAAGTCTCCGTGGTTTTGATAGACTCTGGTGTTTGACTGGTTTGCTCCGGTCTTAGTCCCCTCCCTCAAAGTACAGTTCAAGGTCCCAGCAGGGCCCACTATGTCCACTAGTATTGGGAGAGACTAGGATTCTATGCTTCCTGACTGAGATCACCTGTAGGGTAGCAATGGCAACTCTCTAAAATTTTATTTCTAACCAATGTTCCTGAATTTCTTCTCTCTTGCTGTCAAACTTGCATTGGATCCACTCTGTTTTCTGACTGCAGGAACTGCAGATTGCAAGAACAGGCTGGTGTGTTTGGTGCTGACTTGGGCATGAGCATAGAAGGCTGCAAGATACAGGGTGACAGAATGTTTGTCTCAGAGGGTGGACTGTGATTCAGGCATTATGCTAAATCTTCCACTTGGGAACTTATTTCTGTTTCATAGACACCCAATAGGACAGGCGCTGGTCTTATCTTCATTGAATAGATGAAAATGTAAAACTATACGGATGTATTTAAAGGGCCAGCCTTTGCAGTTGGGCAATATACATCTCAAATCTGTCAACAACAAGCTGTGAAACCTTGAACCATTTTCCTACCTGTTTCCAGTGGGGAACCAGGAGGATTACATCAAATTTGTGGAGCTCAGGATGATAATGATACAGAATGCTTGGCACAGTAAAGGCATTCAGTAAAATTCATTACCTGGTAACATTTTTTAAAAATGCTATATGTTAAATAGCAATCTTTTACTGATATCAGAACAAAGAGGAATACTTCAGTGTCTCATATTTAATTCATTATTTCACTTTTCTTCTATTACACAAGCAACTGAGGTTAAATAAATATTAAGCAAACAAATTTAAAAAACAAAAAAACATAGTCTCACTCCCTGCCCTTGGTTCTCAGAGAACTCCATCCAGTAGGGCAGGGAATACCCAGGACAGAGCTTTCATGGGGAGGGATAGGAAAGAGGGGAATACCAGGGGGCGCTCTAGCTAGTGATGGGCGGCTTCTGTCCTGTCTTCCTCCTGAAGGAAACAGACTGCGAACAGGGTGCCTGAGCTGAGCCCAAAGATGAGCCCGAGTCAGCCAGGAGAGAGACACACATGGCAGCTCCCACAGGGAAGCTGCTTGTAGATCTGTGCTAGAATCATGAGTTTCTAGGTGAAAAGTGGCAATAGATAAAGAGGCCACATCATAGAGGGCCTCGTAGAGGGCCTCCAGTCCTCAGGATCGTAGACTTTAACCTCAGAAGCAAGCACAGCAGCGAAAAATGAGCTAAGTCCCCTGGAGGGAGGAAGATGGAAGGGAAGGGCAAAGCTAGGGTCTTGGGGAAGAGTAGGGTGCGGACAGCGCTGAGCAGGACATGGTTAGGAAGAAGAATCACAGAAATTGAAGTGTGGTGAATTTGAGAGGAGAACAGACACTAAAGACCCTGGCCTTGATAAAGTGGGGGGCAGTGATATCCTCTGAGTTAGAAAGAAGAGATGGTCATGGTAAGAAATGACCTCCCTCTCTATGTGCACATCAGTCTGAGGTCCTTAGTGTTAGACAAGTTTAAAGCAGGCTGCAGTCAACTGGCCAAGTGCACGTGGAGTCCAAGAGAGAGGTAAGGGGTGGAGATGGAAGGGTAATGTCTCCAAAATCCCTACCTTTTTTTACTCCAGGATAATTGAAGCAAAGATCAGACAGAGCAGGGAAACTGAGAACAGAAATCCTGACAACTTTTAAAGAGTGTATCTGGGAAGAGCAGTGTACAAGTACTCTAGCACTAATTAAGCGTTTTGGGTTAGACACAATTTCCTTTTGTCTGTTTAGAAAAACAGTTTAGAAACAGTTTAGAAAAACAGACAAAAGGAAATTCAGTGAGCCAGAGAGAGGGAAGCAGGGATTCACAAGGAGAAGCTGGGGTTCAGTACCAATATCTAAGGGCTGATGAAAGAATAAGGTGAATGTTTAAATTAAAAATTTATTAAAGGAAAACATACATTGCCATGAATCTTCCTCAAGAGATACCCTTTTATTCTGAACATAATATCTTATCATTCTTACCACTTTCTAAGGCAGTTCTGGAAGTCTTTGTTATGGCTTGTATCTAGATGTATCCCCCAAACTTCAAGCATTTATAAGGGGGACTTTTCACAGATGGCTGGATCTAAGGTATGTGATACTAGGATTAAGGGTGTGTGATAACTAGATTCATCCACTGCTAGGTTTAAGATAGTTTTGGTTGTGAATATTGGAAAGGCCCACCCTGAGTGTGGGTGATGAAAGTTCTTGCCTTAGTGTAAATTACTGTACAGTTATGACGGTAGTCTAATGTGGTGGAAGGCCCACGAAGATTCTGAGTGCATTCTTACAAAGGTACTCAACTAGGGAATCTGATTCTTTAATGAAGAGTTGAAATAGGGAGAATTTCAAATTATTATGCATCAAACAGCCTGTATATTTGGATAAACAACCCTAGAATAGCATTGCTCTTCACTATGTACCTCAAAGGAAATAAAGAATTAAACCAATTTTCCATGATTCAGGGTGTATACAAATGCACTGAAAAGGAAGAAATTAGTGGATCATTGAAAGGCTTCAAAGCACTGGAAGATTGAAGTAGAAGTCTGACAAATAAAAAAAGTACAAAGAGATTACTCTTGGCCCCGAATCCAGCAGAAACAGCAAGGAGAATTTGTTAAATGGTTATTATCACCAATTTCTCAAATACAGAGAGGTCCTATCTTGGGATGATAGCATCCAAATTTTGTTTTGTTTTGTTGAAATGATGTTATTTATAGATCTAATTTATTGACCAATCTATTAGTCAATTAATTTTTCCCCATCATAGGGAACAGGAAAAAAATGAGATATTGTAGCCAATTCCCCCTGTCCATCTTTGATAGGTGGGGGGTGTGGGGGTGTTTCTAGGGGGACAGTGTAAGCTGGCTCCAAGATCTTATCATGAAGCTCTATTTCACAGCACAGCTACTTGCAAGGCAGGTTGACAGCCAATGCCTCCTTTTCCTGCAGGTGCTCTCATTGGAGAAAAGGAATAAGAACATAATGAAAAACATCCCAAACCCAGAACGATGCCTCCCAAGAGCAGCTTTGTGCTGAAGCTGCTTCAACAAGCAGGCAGGCGTATAAGGAAGGAGGTGTAGGTCACAGACTCCTCTGAGCCCCCTTGTTAACCTAGGTGCCCCCTGCATGCACCCTCTTTCCCTAACCTATGTTGCAAGCTAGGTGACGGATTTATTTTCATATTTGGGGAGACTGAGTGTCAAATGGTGCCACGTTAAATTAATAACAGGCAGAACTGGAACGAAATACAGGACTGAATGGCTCTGTGCTCCCTTCAGTGGGACAGGAAGTGGACTTAGTATTAAAGAAATAAGACTAGGTCCTTATTTCTCTGGAATTCCCTTTGAAATACCCTCCAGCCTCAAAATATTATTGCTTGGATAGGTTGATCCAGTTTAAGTAAAAGTGTTTTTGCAAGTTGAAAGTGCCGTATTGAAAGTAAGCAATTATGTTTTTATTAACATCTTGCATTCATTCTAATCAGATATCTAATAAGAATTATTTCCTCATCAAGGCCAATATTTATGGGGCCATTCACTACTGCAAAATGATCCTAATGGACACACTGAAAGAATTTAATAATCGCTGAAACGCTTGACCTGATGTTGATTAAAAATTTGCATAGGGCATACAGAAGTACCAAGTAAAAGCTGGCACTGTGTGAGACAGTAGTGGCTATGTTAAAGTTGACAGAGTTAATGTCATGAGTGCTCCTATTTCTCAAGAACAGAGATGGTGGTAAGATATAGTCATATTGCTGGCAAGAGAGCAAGATTTTTACATATTAGAGAGAATTTCACTTTATCTCCATATTGGTTGAGACCCAAGTTCAGGATAATATTGGTAATTCATATCCACTTCCTAAAGACAGTGGCTAAACCAACAACCCTCAAATGGGGGACACTTCATCCTCTAGAGGGCTTTGGCAATGTCTACAGATATTGTTGTTTATCCCAACAGCATGGACCACTACTGGGAGCTATTGATGCTTCTAAAACTTCTTATAATTCATAAGAAAGTCTCCCTTCCCTTGGCCATAGCCAATGACTAGAGCCCAAAATGCCTGCAGTGCAAAGATTGAGAAACTTTGAACTATACACATTTCCCAAGGACTTGCTAGAAGGTCCATAAAATTGTGGATGCCAAATATTGGGCCATAAGTTACATCCAGACTGGATATAAAAAAGAGCCTGGAAAATTTATCATCTTTCATTTATTTTGGGGCAATAATTCTTCAGAAAGCTTCTGTGAAAACATGCTTAGGAGAGTCCTGGCAAAATTCTCCTTTTCCAGAGAGAGCATGAAGATATAGCTCTTCCATTCCACAGCCAGAGAAAGTTCCCAGGCACTGTAACCACCATGGGTCCAGAGCAGAGCCTTGTGTAAGGGGTTACCTCTGTTGTAAGGACACAATGATCCTCAGTTGAAAAAGTTCACAAGCTCAGGAAGTCATGACAGACCCGGTAACATGGGGCACTCTCTTAAAAGCAACAAAACAATGTTTATGAAAAAATCCTAAGCTGTGGACATCCTAAAAATTTCTAGGAGCCAACACGGTAAGGAGGTAGATAACATTTGCTTCCATCAGTGGACTTTTTACTGTGCTGTCACACAGCTAAGGGCAAAGTTCTGTGTGCTGCTGACTTTTGCAAATAACTGATTGCCATGGTTTATGCCTGTGGCCCCCAGGCCTCATGAGTTTGCGTTGTTCATTTGTGATGGTTCATTGTATAGTGCTTGCATTGATGGTGTCAGTGCTCCACCCACAAAGGGGTGGAGCCAGGATGTGATGTAATGGCAGGAAGAAGGTGTGTCTTGCTCTTTGCAGGTTCCTGCTTGCTGTTTGCAGCCGCCATGAACTGCGGCCCAGCCATGCCCGCCTGCCTTGGAGCCAACTGAGTGTGGACTGAAACCTCTAAAAACTGTAAAAAATAAACCTTTCCTTTCCCAACTTGGGCTTGAGGTATTTCGTCTCAGTAAAAAGTAACTAAGACACTGATCTAGGTGCAGGGCCCAGAATGCTATCTCCCTGCGGACACCTCAGGAGCCCCCTCCCCATCCTGGCCCCCTACTCTAGTTTCCTGTTTCCTCAGTCCTCTTCTTGGGTCCACATCTTGAGGAGATGGAATAAAATGATTCCAAACATTCACTGGATATTTCTTTGAGAATGTGCATAGGTTCTCCTATTTCTCAGATTGTTGGGAAATGTTTAAAAATAGTATTTTATATCTTGATAATTTTAGTTTTGTTGGAAACACATCTCCATTGTTTCTAGTCAAAATTGCACAAATGTGCTAGAAGCAAGTGAAAATACTTAATTCAACAATGGAACTAAAACATGTATCTTCACGGTAGGGCACACAGGTATAATTTTTCATTCACAGGTACTGACACATCGTAACTCAGGCTTTTCAGGAACTGGTATTTACTTGAGGAAATGGAGGGGGGCGGAGAGAAAATGCCACTACAACAAAAAACTTTCCTTAAGGTCATTTTCATAAAAGAATCATGTCCATGAAGTCTGTTAAATTCCATGTGTTCCTTTTAGTGCTTAATAAAAATTCATAGAGACAGAAGAAATGAGGTGACCTGATATACTGGCCCTGGTAACCTTCCATGTCACAGAGCTCGTAATGAGCACAAGGCTATGCATCATGACTTGGCTGTGACCACATCCTTCCCAGTGTGGAGCTACCTCACCCACCCCTCAGTCTTCTGGCCTTAGCACAGCCTGCAGCACTTCCTGTGCTCCTGTGGGTGCTTCAATAGCAGACAAAGCGGAAAAAGGGTTTGATGGCTATCAACAGCACCCCACAAATGCAGAGTAACCATGCCTCCAGATGTCTGCTTTGGCAACATTTTCTGTTGACTTCAGTTCCCAGGGAGAAACTACACATGTTGAAACCGATTATCATATAGAGAAGGCGAGGTCCATAAGTTTATTTCCAAGAGATTTTCAGCAATGGTGAACGACCTGGGGTAAAGGTACCAGGAAGGACTGGATGGAATTTGCATCTATTCAGCTCTGATTCAGTGGCAGAAATGTGCTAGATATTACACGTGCTCAGTATCTCAGGATCATCATAAAACCCTAACAAACTTGCTCATGGAAGAAAGAACTGATGCTTACTGAGGGTCAGAAATCTGTTCAAACAAAAGGGTCAACATGTTTCAATTGCACTCAAGGGCCCTTTGAATACCCTTGGAGTTTATTAATTTTATAAGAATATGCTGTGCCAGTCTGTGTAAAATTTGGGACCGGCAGGACCTGATCAGAACAAAATGAGGAGGTGTCAGGTAGTTTGCTTGGCACAAGCCTGGAATCCCAGCACTTCGGGAGGCTGAAGCACAAGGACTACAAGTTGGAGCCCAACCTAGGGTACTGTGGGTACTAGAGACACTGTCACAACAACAAACAAACAACAAGAGCTGCAGTTGTAGCTGCAGAGGCCCTGGGTTCAATCCTTGGTACAAAAAAAAAAGTCATGGCCAATCGTCACCTTGGGTATCTACTTGAAAAAGAGTCTCTTTCTGACCATTCTCCAGAGTTCTCTCTTTACAAAACAGAAAAAGCCTGGGGAAATCACATATTTTTTCTGTTTGTGTTAATTTGCTTTAGGTAGAAACGTCAGGGGTATGACACAGAGACAGGTGCCAAACCCTAGTAGCTTGGACTAAGACTAAAATAGTGATCAAATGAAATACCTACAGCATTGGACAGAGTTCTCTTGATTTACCACAATCAGGTGAGTGAAGATGGTTTAGAGATACATAGTCATCCTTTCATGGCAGCCATACACCTTGGGTCCTTATCTGAGTAAAAGCTAAACCATGAGACTTAAAACCCAAGAAAGTAGATGGTAGATGTGTCCCAAACAAACTTACCATTTATGTCAATGTTGAAATTTTGGGCTACAAAATCGGGATGAATTTAAAACATAAAGTGCTTTCCAAAGTCTAAATCTCTATCCATTTGTCAACATGCAAATGTTCCTAGAAAACTAGGAACACAGGATTTCACCAAGTTATGGATACAAAGCCTTAGGGTGTAAAATCAGGAAAGTCAGGGTCACTCTGAGAGAAGGACAGTATTTCTGACTGAGAAGTGGCCTGAGATGGTAAGAAGAGAAGGGACACAGAATTGAGTGAAGGTTCTTCCTTGTGCCTGCATCTCTGAAGGTCTCTTCCCAGGAGAACAGACACTCCATTGAACCCAAAATAGACTGCGGGAAAGCATGAGATTGACATTAGGCCTCTGGAATATGGTCACGGTGCAGCAGTATGGACATGGAGTTGTTTGCAGAGGTGAGTCCAGTCCAGAGGTACACTGTTCACTGGAGACCCAGTTGCCTCTCAGGATGTCTAAGAGGGAATAGAGATGCTGAAGGTGTTAGGGGACAGGGTGCCCAGGATTTGGATAAGAATCTGAGGCGGGAATCTTTGCATCTCACCAATCCAGCGTGGGACTAGCAGTGGTAAGTACACTAGAGGCAAAATCACAGAGACCAGGGGACAAGAGGCAGGAAGGTGTTGAGAGTGCAGAGTAGCAAGGTGCTAACCATGAGGACTCACTCACACACTCTTCCCTTATATTTTATGTCCCAGATGTCAGTTGTGCTGATTTCTTCTGGATTGGGGTTTCTTTCTGAGAATTGTGGAAACAGATGAAGTGAATCAGGGAACATGATTCCCTTATCTAGAGAGCCCCAAGCAGTGTGGAGGACACAGACTGAATCCAGGGAGTTACAGTGAATCCAGGAGACTCAAGGTCCTTAAGAGGGTGACTCTGTGGTCCCAAGTGTTATAGTGAATGAATTAGAAGAATGTGATTGGTGCTAGAACAAAATTATCACATTGGTTGTGACCTCTGTCTGGTATCTCTGACATCCCCAGCACACTGTTGATATGCCCACAGCACATCTTCAATTAACATTTACTGGGGCATAAAGCGTTTTCTGTAATGAAACATGTAATGAAACTGTAATGTACACTTTCTGTAATGAATATTAGAGCAGTCATTCTAGAGCCTTGGAAGGAAAGGAGTGATGGATCTATAAAACAAAAGGTTTACACAGAAGAAAAAAAATGTCTTGTTAAGAACATAGCTTCCAATTTTGAAACATCTTGTGCAAGTTACTGTTCTGCCACTTACTCCTGTCTGATCTTGGACAAAAACCCTGCTCTACGTGGCCTCTGTTTTTCTCATCTGCAAAATGAGAACAAAAGTAAGATGATCCCTGAGTAGATGATAGAGAAAATGTGTCAAGGACTCATCACATGGGATGCTCACATTGTACGAGAGCTATTAATTTTATGAGAATTAAGTAGAAAATTAAGATACTTCTAGTGTTCACAATAATAAGAAAAATAAACTATAACAATGTCTTAGTGACAGTTCATAAAAGACAAACATTATATGCCTGAAGTTGCAATGTGTCATTCTTATTTTCTACTTGGCAATCCTGTTGTGCACTAAGGGAATTTCTCATCACATAGTTTTGGGTGAAAGAAGGAATGTATCCATTAAAACAGAAAGGAAGGATGGATATATGCTTTCTAAGTCCTCATTTCAGGTAGTGAGGAGGAGAGGGCATCACCAGTTAGACACACTCCCCTCAGCATTCACACACTGTGCCATTACACACACAAACACACCAGTGCTGGGGCACCAACAGGGGTTGGGAGGAGCTGCTTAGCAGCCATAGCCACACAGAGGAGCTCGTGAGGCCCAGGGAACCATGGAAACCCCAGTGGCAGCCTCAGCTGGGCCCAAGCTGATGTCCCGTTCAGACAGTGGTCTCCATCTGTGTGCCTCTTTTCCTCCCTCCCACACCCAGGACACACACTGGTGAGAGGGTGGATAGAATCCTTCCAATGCTGATCATGCCAGGGATTTTCCAGTCTGCGGCCTTCATCTCCCCTCAGCATTCAGCTTCCCAATGCTGAGCGCCTAGAAATCAGATTTACTAGAAACTGAGGAAAACAGGGAAGCTGTCTAAGAAGGAAGATACAGTTGTTTGACCCTTTTGTCTCCTGATTCCTGTAAAGGATTCAAGCCAGTCTGCGTTACACCTGCCTCATGAGGTGGCTCAGAGCTGAACAGAAGGGAGATCAGGGAACCACTATCAGGGGCTAAAGGGAGCTGATGCACCCCTGGCTTCAAAGAAAACCATATGGAAATAATGAGATGAGTGAGAACCTTAGGTGAAGAAATAACATACAGAAAGTACAGTTTCCTGTGTGGCAAAATGATGTATAACATTTGAAAGATCTCTCTTAGCCTACCAAGGTTATTACTTCCGAACATTCATGAAAACATTTCAACAAGGAGGCCTCAGAGGAAGTGGAAAAGTTGACATGAGGTTGGAGGGAGTTGAACTAAAAAATGTCAAGGTACTAATAATAATGTTAAAGAAACAGACATTTAATATGTGTCAGGAAATATACTGGGTATGGTATTTAATCTGCATAAAATTCTGGCACAGGCATAATTGGATTTAAGACATAAAGAGAGGAAGAATTTTGCCCAGGTCAGGCAGTTCCCATGTGACACAGAATGAATGAATAGCTGCACACATTAAATATACTTCATTGGAGCAATTTGCTCCTAATATACAGTGAGCTGAACAAAAAAAGATGCAAAGCTCTATACAGATAAATAAGTTAATAATCTATAGGAAAATAATTAACATCTGTGTATCTGCAGAGAAAAACTCCAGAAGTAGACATGTCATGATAGTAATAGTTGTTGGTCTTGGTGATATGATTATGGATGTTTTTATTTTCCTTTATCTTGTTTAATATATATATTTTAGATTATTATTATTTTATACATTTGATACGCAAAGATTACATTTATCTTGTGGAAATTAGTAATATTCATATTGCATCTTAATCATTTTTACTTTCCGTCAGCTCCCTCTCCCTCTCCTCTCCACTAGTTCTTTATGAGCATCTTTTGAATGTTCTGCTTCTCAATTGTGTGAGTCTGAAGCCCTTCTCCCCTCTGTACTTCAGAATTGTTATCTGTAAAATGCAAGCGTAAATGTCCCCATTATGTGATTGTTATAAAGATTTTAAGA